GTTCAGGAGAAAAAAGGCTTTTTCCCATATGCGTCTAGCAAGACGCAGTACTCGTTCCCGTATCTCAGTACGTTACCGAGTAGGTAACCGAGTACATTAACATACTTTTGCATATTCATGATTCATTGATTGGGCAAACAGAGCTCGCCACCTGCTTTATTAAGTGTGTGTCCATCTGTGCATGTCATCCACTTTGTCTGATTTAAGTCTCCTGATGCATGCAAAAGCAACGGCAAATAACTGCAGTTAACGTGTTTCCTGTCACTATGTGATGTTTTATTAACAAAGTTCGGGAGGAGCACGTCAGATACTTAGTCTAATTAACACAAGAGGAGCCCACTCAATTCAATTAACACCAAGAGGTATAAATGCAGCGACTTACCTCTATCCTTTGGCAGTTTATCAGCATCCCTCCACCGCCCGATCTCCTCACTTTGAGTTCTAACTACACTTCTACGGGGGAGTACTCTGGGGTCGGGCCATTCCCGAGCTCGGAGCCCTTCCCCGGACAGCACGCCAAATATGCATTACTATATTCCATCTAATTATATGTAAGTGTGAACTCGTGAATTCATGCCTTTCAGACTTCTAAAAAAAAATCTGTCACTGATAAACCATCTACTATAATATAATTAAATACTTGTAATTTATGTTGCTTAAAATAAATATTTTGTCAGAATACACAATTGTTTTGTTTTGTTGTCAGTGGTGAAAAATGCTTTTACAGCGTGTACCAGCATAAATCAAATAATTCCTCAGCCCCTGGTTAGTGTCACGATCATGGACTTTTAGTTTGTTTTCTTCCCTCATGTTATACTTGACCTAGTTTCTGTTGTCCTTTGATTAGTTAATTCAGTTCACCTGTATTCGTTTATTATCTGATTAGTTCCCTCATTTAGTTCTTGTATAAGTTATCCCTGTTCTGTTCAGTCCTTGTCCAGTATTGATGTTTGAAGTTGTTTTGCTGTGTGTTCCTGTTGCCTTCATGGATTATCATCTTCATGGATTCTATTAAACTTTTATGTAATTGACCTTCATCTTTGTGTGCCTTTCATCTACACAAAGCGTGACAGTTAGCACTGCTTTTGTCAGTGGTGCTAACCCTCTTTTAAAATCACAAACGTTCGATTTAAATGTGATCTAAACCCAGGGTTAATAAAATGATAATAACCCATGGTTAAGTTGAGAACTGTGTGAAAGTCTTCTTTTGTGTTTTCTCTATTAGCTAATGGATTTGTATTTGAATAACTCTGCCCTGATTCCTGGGATTCATTTGGATGAGTTCTACTTATCGCTAAATTCTTTTCAGCCACAAAACATGTCTTCATCACAGAGGACAACCACTTACTCCTTTATCATAGCAGTCAGGACTGGCATCATCTTTGCAGCATTTTTCTGCAAGCTTAGTCATTTCATCTGCCACACAACTGACCTCCTGGAATGTGCCATTCGGGAACTTTTGACTGTAGAGGACAGTGACCCTGCGGGAGGATTAAAGGTGAAAATAAGTTATGCAAGCATGCTCAGAGAATGTCTACTAACTGCATCAAACAATACAGGGATATTGCATGGACAAAAAAAGTGAACAAAAGTGAAAAATTAACTGCAAAATTAAATGGAATTAAACTGGAATTGAAAAATTTTTTAAAACTAACTTTAATAAACTTCATCTTGAGATCCAAATATTTTGCACATATAACCAAGCAGTGAATTTATATCCATGAACTGTGTTTGAGACTAAGAACTGTATAAATCCTCTGAGAAAAGAAACAAAACTTTATACTCGCATTTCTTTGAACTTTTCGATTCCAATGTCTTTGAGCCCTTGGCAAACATTTTCTTTGGCATAGTTCTTGCCTGCAGAGATATAAATATTATAAAGAATAACTGTATAAGCAAAACCACAAAATAAATACATTAATCAACATAGCTGTATTTTCTATTGATTTTTCTTTCATAGTACATTTATTCATCTCTCTCAACCCGTCTCTTACAAAATTTCAATTGCTATTCTGTTAAACTTTAACATTGTTAACAAAAATCCTTAGTGTAAGATTCTATATTAAACAAACAAAATGAATGGCATATTCCTTCCTTTTTTTCACTGTGGAAATACAGCCTGTAAAATACCATTACATTTAATACATTCTGTTCTTCCTACCTTTGTCAGCCAGCAGAGTTGTTATTATTAAAGCCGGAATTAAAATGACAGCAGTGTTCCTCATATTTTACCACAGGTTAAAATGTGATTTCAAGATGAGTTCAAATTAGAAACTGCTTCTGTATTGCAGTTTTACAAGAAACAAAAGCGTGCATAGTCAAAAATTAACTTCAGCAAAAACAGACAGTTATGTAAATGTTTAAATGCAAACAAGACTCTGACTTTCACTTAGACCCCATGACATGACTTGACAGCTGGTCACTAAAACTAAAACTTTTTGACAGGAGTGACTCAAACTTACAACGAACAGCTTTTGTAAACATTTTAAAGGTTATACTCAGAACCTCACATCTGAGTATTAAAGTTTATCTAAAAATAGTCCAGATCTGACTTGGCATTAAGAAGTAGGCTAAAAAAACTCCTAGAAAAAAAGGATTTTATTAGCATTCATTTTGACATTCAAGAAAGCCTTTTGTTCTTCTCACAGGAAAGGTTAGCAGCTATCAAAATATGCTTTTATATCTTGTTCAAGCTGGAAGTGCACTTCAAAGTTTAAGGGAAATGCAAACAAGTTGACTCAAGGTATTATACAGGTTAGTAATTTATGTTGATCTTTAAATCAACACCAAAATATCAAAATCAAGAAATGCAAAATTTACTCACAGTACATAACCATATAAAGTATGCCCTGAATGAAATACTGTAAAAATAACTTTGACATATAAAAATGAAAGAAAATCTGTAGAGGATCAGTGTATACAAGGCTATAACCTCCGACCTGTAGTGGATGGTAATGTTGCAATGAATCAACTGATTGACTGATGGCTCATTATTGCCATTGTTGAACTCAGCAAAGGATTTTCTGGCATAATAAATACACAGCATATTAGTTACAGAATATACCACATATATTGTACAAAAGCAATTGGAAACTAAAAAGTGCAAACAAACCTTGAATAACAGCAATGGCCTTTGAGTATATCTGCCCTATAATTTCTACAAACAGCTGTAAAAAATAAGACCTGTTTGGGAACATTTTCAGGTCACCTGGAAGAGCACATATACAGTTCACAGTTAGAAGAAGCTTAAACAAATACATATTTTTGCAAATAAAAAAAAAATTGCAAAAACAGAACAAAAAACAAGAGTGACTGAGATTTCATACATGAATAGAATATAAGCATGAATCGGACACACTAGAGTCCATGCAATTTATCAGAGGGAATACATATTCCTTCAGATGGTAGGATAAAACAGGTCAATCTTTCCAGTTTTCTTAATTTAGGGTTTTGCTGCCCAAGGCTTGATGGAAACATAACAAATGCTAAGAAATCATCAGTACGCTCAATTCTAAAGCCAAAAACTGAACAATTATATATACAATATTCATTTATTCATAATTCATGATTTAAAAAAAAAAATACATAATTCAGGATAAAACAGGTTAATCTTTCCAGTTTTCTTAATTTAAGGTTTTGCTGCCCAAGGCTTGATGGAAACATAACAAATGCAAACAATGATCAGTACGCTCAATTCTAAAGCCAAGAACTGAACAATTGTTTATACAATATTCATTTATACATAATTCATGATTTTTCAAAAATAGATAATTCAGTTTTCAAAAAAGAAAGTTTGTTTCTATTGACAAGACGCACCTTTATTTTTGAGGTCAATTGGATTTTTTTTTTTAGCATCTTCTGCAGATGTTTCACCTTCATGATTCTTCACACCTACCCAATATACCTTTTGGCAGACCATTTCAATTTTACTCAAATGACCCCAAATATCTACGTGCTGCTTACTGTTGAAGATCCATTTAGTTGTAACTATGGCTTCAGAGATTATAGGCCGCACCATGGACAGAGTTGAATCAATAGTATTGATCAACAGTTCCCATTCCAGACCTGTTATGGTCCAATAATCCAAAAGGTAGAGGTACATTATTAGTTCATTTTGTTTTCAGCTATGTGTTATGAAATCAGATTCTTTTGTCACACGCCGTTCACATTCTCAAAATAAAATGAAATAAATGTTTCAGTCAAGGTAATCAATGAAATCTGCTTTGGCTGAGAGTCTGTTCTACTTTTGAATCATTGGTCATTTCTACACTGTAGTTTCCACTTTTTTCCAGACTTTATTAAGCCTATGGAGTTTTAAAGCTTTAGTGGTTCACAATACAGTTAGAACACCTTAATTTTAAGTATCTGGTGTACTGCAAGGCCAGCTCAGTTCTTCTCATCACTCTTTAAGAGCACCTCAGATCTGAGCACAACTGACTGATACGGTACAGACTACTATTTACAGATTTCATAAGGTCATGGTCATATGGAGTTTAGTGCCAGATAGAGGCCATGGTTAGAAATTAGCAACTAGTACTATTTTGGTTCGGTGAATATCTATAATCTCAAACACGAACAGTCATCTGTATTAAAAGAGAAAAACAAATAATTCCACCAGGCACTTTTGTTTTGAATCATTGGTTCAGACCGCATATGCATTGTAGCACATCACATTATTCCAAATGGTCATACTGGATTTCAAAGGTCTTCTGTCACTGCATTCACGTCATACTGCACAATATTGTCTAAATACTAAATACACTCATGGCCTTTTGCTCCCTCTGTCGTCATACAGCTAACTATATGGCATTCACTAGTCAATAGTGAATGAGTGAATGATTCAGTGGTTCTGAACACAGTATATGCATGAAAGCGCAAATACAACAATGGCCCTGTTGCTTATTTTCTATGTGCCTATAAGTGCCGTGGCGAGATGCCATGATGGACTCTCTTTCCACAATGACAGCTACTTACTGTTGTCTCTTGATGTCGCCCTTACACTAAATTCATTACTACTGCAATCCATGTAAAAGCACTGAATATCTGATATATGAAAGTAATGCTGAGCATAGATTTACTAAGTAGATACCGCATTTGGCTTCTCCTGGTACATCAATGGTGCCACCATCTTGGAACAATCAACATGGAGACCTGTTTGAATGGAAGTCAATGGAGAAGATACGTCAGGTGCGCTGGATAAACTGCCATTGTGTGGTAACAGTTCATCATACAACTAATTGTCTTTCTGGGTGCTAATTTTCAACATGTTTTTCATATAATAATAATAATAATAATACATTTTATTTATAATCTGCTTTTCTAGTACCCAAAGTGCTACAAACAGTTACAAATAAAACAAATAAAATAAAAAATTCTGTAGCAGTACAAAACAATAAATCAATACAAAACATTACAGTAAGCTAACCAATACAATAAAAATACTAATCATCTCAATCTATGTAGGCAATTTTATGACAACTTCTTAAAACTGTCTAAAGTGGGAGCATTTCTAACAGTAACAGGAAGTGCATTCCTAGGTGCGGCAACAGAGAAAGCTCTCTTCCCCATGGATTTTAATCTACAATGAGGCTGCTGAAGAGTAAAAGAATCAGCAGAACAAAGTGAATGAGAAGGCACAGATAAAAGAAGGGGCCATTCCATGCACAGCTTTGCAAGTAAAAAAGTGAGAATTTTAAAATCAATACACGACTGAACAGGAAGCCAGTGCTATAAAGGATGCCTGTGATATGCTGACAAGATGGAGTATAAGTGAGAACATATGCTGCTGAATTCTTGATATATTGTAGCCGTTTGATAGAATTAGCGGGTAGACCAACAAATAGTGCATTACAGTTATCAATCCTGGAAGTAACAAATGTGTGAATAAGCCTTGCAGCATCAGGCAGTGTGAGGAAAGGTCTAATTCTAGCAATGTTTCTAAGGTGATGGAATGCAGATTTTGTGATACTCTTAATATGTGAATCTAATGTCAGATGGGCATAGAAAATCACACAGAGGATACGATCATGAGTTGTATGGTATTACAGTATTGTCCATAATCAAATTAAAACTGCTACCTTTATGAATAGCTGCTGGTGTGCCAATGAGGAAAAACCTCTGTCTTTGAACGGTTAAATAAAAAAAAATTATGGTGCATCCATATTTTTATTTCCTGCACACATTCAGAAAGAATTTTAGAAGAGACATTGATATCGGACTTATAGCTGATATAGATCTGAGTATCATTAGCCTAAAAATGGTACCCTAAGCCATAGTTCCTAATAGATCCCTGAGGAACACCATGACAGATCTGTCCAATGTCCAATTTGTTGTTTCCCCAAGACAACAAACTGGGAATGATCAGTAAGGTAGGATTTCAACCATTTAAGCACAGTGCCAGAGATACTAAGCCAACTCTCAAAAGTCTATTAAGCAGAATGGAGTGGCACACTGTGCCAAATGCTGCACTCAGATCTAACAACACCAAGAAGGTAGAGGCTCCAGAGTCAGCTGAGACAAGCAAGTCATTCATAACGCAAACCAAGGCAGTCTCTGTACTATGTCCCTTTCTAAACCCAAATGCTCAAAGTGTGAATGAAGTTTTGTCGCAACGACACGTTCCAAAACCTTATCAATAAAAGGAATATTTGAAATAGGTCTGTAATTTGATACATCAGACTTATCACATCCAGGCTTTTTAAGGACAAGTGTAATAGCTGCAACATTAAGGGCTTTCGGAACAATACCAGTAGTAAGGGAGGTGTTCACAATGTTCAAAATGAAGGGACTTATTGATGGCAGACACTCCTTATGAACAACTGTTGGGATAGGGTCAAGAGTAGTTGTGTTCATTGCCATCACTAATTTCAAAACAAAACCAATAGTAACTGTAACTGTAAATTAATGGTAACTATACATTATTTTTCTATGAGGGAAAAAAACGCAAATTTATAAGAGAATTAACAGAAATTTTGTGACATAGGATTTACCCTGCTCATTTTAGGTTGGCACTACACCAAATATTGCATTTTAATCATCATCTCAATTAATTTGTCTCAGTTAAATACAAATTTGAATAGATTAAATATTACTATATTGCTGTGAGAAAAATACTATGAGAATTCTCATACTATGAGAATTATTGCTACTGACTTGCTGTTGACTATTTTTTCACCCAAAAATAAAATTTGGAAGAACTTGACGGTGAATAAACGATGACTTAATTTTCATTTTTGGGCGAACTATCCCTTTAACCAATGATTTGAATAAACAAATATATTATGGATGTTTTTAGATTGCTACATGTATTTATGAAATGTTGTATCCAACCCGCTGTGTT